CTGGGCTGCAGGTGGGGTTCAACTTTGGGTCTTCCTGCCATGAAGAGTCTTGGAAGATTGAACAACCCACTTCCGTCCTTTGGATCTCAGTTTTACCATCTATAAATATGAAGAGGATGGGTGAGGTAGACTCCAAGGACCCCTGAGACCAGCTGGTCCTTTGATGCAGTCTAAATCTGGGGGCTCGGAATTGTGAGACTCATAAGCGCATCACCACATACCGTGGGCACTGTGGCTGCCATAGCCAGTGCTCACCAGCAGAGCAAGTGGAAGGTGGAGAACTGACCGTTGTCTAGATACACAACCTGAGAGTGGGAGGGCCTCTCCAAGAGTCCCCGAGCTTCCCACGATACAGAATGGCCAGAGGTGTCAGCAACACGCTGAGCAGAGCAGGAGGACCCAGAGCTGACCAGCCCAGGAGTCTAGGGGGTGGCTCCCCTGGCACACTCCTGGAAGCAGGTGTTTAGTTGCCCAGCAGAAGACGAGGAGGCCCACAGGGTCACCCTCCACTCAAGGGAAGAGCTGTGGATGCATCCACTCAGCTGCCTTCCCCAGAAGACCACGTTGGACCTCAGAGATGCTGCTCACTTGATGCCCACTGCCTACAGAACTCCCCGTGGCTCAGGCTAAGCAACAGCAGATGCACAAACCATTGCAGCTCTCACATCATCTCTGTTGGCAGAGAGGGCATGGGGCGCTTCAAGTCAACTTGGCTGATGAAGGCACGACTTGTCTGGGGGAAAGATTTCACAACAGTTATACATGTGAATGACTCAAATCCACCCCTAGATGTCACATTCAGTCCTGTATAGAAAGGGCTTCACACTCAGTTCCTTCTCCAAGGGTGAGAACAGCCACGACCACTCCATATGGAAAGAAGACGTCCATCTGCCTCCGAGAGAGGCTCCATTTGAAAAAGTTTCCCAGTTTCAAAAGAACCAAGAAAGGGGAGGGAAGAAGTGACAATAACTGTCACCCTCAGACATTTCCATGTCAATCAAACCTCACTTCTATGTACAAACAGAATCAAAGTCTTCAACATGGCTCAGCCAACCAAGGCTCACCAGCTGTGGCTTTCTCCTTCCAAGCAGACCTGTGTGAAAACAGTAACGGTGACAGCCAGTGGGGTGGATGGAGGGGGACTTGCCCTGAATTGGCACCCAAGCTGAGTGTGTCACCAAGGAACGTGTCTTCCTCCCTCCAAGTATTCGCCATGAGGACCAGCAGTTACAGACACGGCCACAACCACAGGGAGATGGACCTACAAAACAAAAAGGGAAAGCAAGCCTCAGAAGAAAACGTATACTTGACAGTTGTCACAGGAGGCAAACCATTTTATTTCTCCATCTTATGAACAATCAGTTCATCTAGAAATGGAACTAAACCACCAGTAACACCCACCCTCCTAGCACATTTTTGATAGGACGTTAGTCTCTCTTGTCTATAACTTGTCTCTGCTCTCTCTTGTTCCCCTAATGTTAGTAACAATTCAAGATGCTCTGAAGTTACAGCTCATGAAGAACCCTAGTGTACAAAAAAGAGAGAAAAAACAAAGAAATTTGCACTTGGAATCCATTTGTACAATGCATTCCATAGGAGTCTCACTCCACCATGGGGCCTCCTCAGCTCCAACACACAAATCGGGATGTTTAAGGAATGTTTAGCTTCCGGAAATGGTGAGTGAAAGATGAAGTAAATTGTACTTAATGCTGGGGACTTATAGATCCATCCCCATCTTTGCTACGAATTACTGTTGAAAAATGTTTCTCAGAGCAGCATCGACCACCAAATCCAATGGGAAGTAGGGATGGATGCTGCCAGCTGCAGGGATGCTGAATGACGCTCAGCCATCGATACCAGCACTCAAGCATACCATTCCCAAGGGCAACAAAAGAAAGAATGATGCACCTTCAACTTCCACACACATTCCTCAACTTTGAAAGAGCTGTTTCATTCATCAGAAACAGTTAGAGGGCTTCTAAAAAAATAGTCTGAATTGAGACCCAGGGAGTTCATTATTTTGAAGGGAAAGTATAGAGGAGAGAAAAGATAGGGATTGCAGTACCCATCAGGCTCAGTCCTCGACCTGTGTGACCTTGTACAAGTCACTCTGATCCTCTGTGGCCTCATATCTAAAGTTCCTGCTGTGCTCTGGCAACAAAACCAAAGGGCCCCAGAGTTGCCTGGGCTGGACCAGCTCAGCACAGGAGACGCTCCTTGAGCACGGGTTTCCTCCACACCCTTCATGCTCTGTGTCCACGGGGGACACTAGAAGGCACATCCTGCCCCACCCAGCAATGGCTGTAGGTGCAACTTAGCCTTAGCATTTCTGCATCAACCTTTTGATCAAGCTTCACCCTCCCTCCTGTCTGCTGGTCACATAAATCCCTTCCTCCATCACCTACCAAGAGCAGACTATTTCCATGTGAGGCACTGGTCCTCTCCCTCTCAGCCCAGGAGAGTCCAGCAGAGGAGACACCAGCTCCTAACTCCAAAGAACGGAGATGCAGGATGGTCAACAACTGTCCTGCAGGCCCTGTTGCAGGCCAGCTCAGGAGGAGGCAGACCTCCCCACACCATCTGTCAAAATCAAGGACATCCACTGTATATTCACTAGTCTGGTATGTCTCTCTCCTGGACTCTTGGGCAGGTGGACCATAACTCCCAGATGTCCCGATGGTGGAGGTCCCATCTTCCAAACATGAGGAAACTCAGTTGAAGCCAACATAAAAGGCACTTGGGTGAAAAGATGGAGAGAAAATCCTACAAACATTTCCCAGCCACCTGAGTCACCTAGTCCCCAACCAGGGTAATTGTTGGTCTGCCTTCCTTCCTCCCTCCCTTCCTTTCTTCCTTTCTTCTTTTTTCCTTCCTTCCTTCCTCCCTTTCTCCCTTCCTCTCTCCATCTCTCCTTCCCTATCTTTCATCTTTCTGTCTGTATTTTTTTGTTGTTAAAACCTTATAATTGGCTCCTCGTCACCATCACCTGAGACATATGCCATCACAATAAGACAGCATCACCTGGCAGGGTTGGGGACATATTTGGATTGCTGTTCTGGCCGTGATGGAGTCAGTGGGTTCAGTCTCACTGCTCTCCTGCTGTAGACAATAAAAATATAAACAGAACCTCATAGCAATAACATAATGGATTTATACATTTACATAGACATAAGCCTTCTGCTTGGAGCACATACTACCTGGCCTCCTCTGCCGGGGCCACCAGCCCTCTCGCAGGGCTGTTCTTTGAGCTGAGCAAGGTAAGGCACACAGGAAGCTTTCCCAGAAATGAGCTTTGAGAATAAGCTGCTCAGATCCTGGTTGGTGCTCAAGGCAGCTTTCTCAGTGGGTGACCTGAGATTCAATCCAGGATGCCACAGGCCACTCCCTTCCACCTCCCTCAACAGGCCTGGCATGTGCTGCCAGAGATGTAACCCAATTCTCCCTTTCAGTGTGCTCACCATTTATTAGGTCTTTATCCATCAGAGCAGAAGACTAAAGAACCTAAGAGCATGGGTTCACACTCAGAGCCTATAGTCAGCCTCAACTCTCAGTGCCTCAGTTTCCCCACTGTTGAAGGTGGTGGCCACTGGCTACCAAACTATGGTTGTGCAGAACAGATACCACACACAGCAGTACCACCAGGCTCAGCACATAGCAGGACCTGGCTGCACAATGCTGGAGCTCCCCAAACACAGAGGGGCAAGAGCACCCACACAGGCACACACATCTCCCCTACACACACACACACAGATTTCCAAATACACACAGTTTGATACTGCAACTTAGAAAAATCAGATAGTTCTTAAACCAAAAACTTCTTTGGAATTTAATTATTTTGAAGTTTAGGTCCCCCGTGGCTCACTTATTCCATGATGCTGGAGTAGGGGAAAAGTTAATAGCTTTCTAATTATATCAATTTCCCATTTAAAAAGTCTGTTTCTCATTATTAGTCTGCCAAGGGATTATCAGGCTAGTTGCTTTTTGCTCTTAATTCATAGAGCAGAAATAAATTAGTGCAGATGTGTGAGATCTTACTCCCTCAAATTACCACTTCCTAAGTTGAAGCGATTAAA